CTGTCACTCAAGCTGGAGTGGAATGGCATGATCTCACTGCAACCTTCGCCTTCTAGATTCAAGTGATTCTCCTGCCTCGGCCTCTCGAGTAGCCGGGATTACAGGCGTCCGCCACCACACCTGGCTAATTTTTATACTTTTAGTAGAGATCGGGTCTTACCTTGTTGGCCAGGCTAGTCTTGAATTCCTGACCTCAGGTGATCTGCCCACCTTGCCCTCCCAGAGTGCTGGGATTATAGGCGTTAGCCACTATCCCCGGCCAGTTTTTCAATTTTTTGTAGAAACAGGTTTTGTCATGTTTCCCGAGGCTGGTCTTGGACTCTTGATCTGAAGCCATTCACCAGCCTTGGCCTTCCAAAGTGCTGGGATTACAGGCATGAGCCACCGTCCCCAGCCACCTCCATTATTTCTGATGATAAGGCATTCATTGATCGATTGTTCTCCTGGAGGTGATGAGCTGCTCTTCTCTTGCTGCTTTCAGTAATTTTCTTTTTGTCTTTCACTTACTGTAGCTTTTTAGTCATTTTTGAAATCATGAAGTGTGCGTTTTACAATTTTGTTCTTTTATAAGTTTTTTGGGGTGTCTGAGTTCCTTGCATTTCCATATGCACTTTAGGATCCATTTTCCCTGGCAAAGGAAAGTGATCCTTGGCAAAAAATTGATCCATTTAGGATCAATTTCTGCCGGCAAAGCAAGTGGTAGAGCTTTAATTCACCTTGTGCATCAATTTAGGAAGTGTTGCCACCTAATACTAATATTGTGTCTCCCTATCTATGACTGTTGGCTATAGCTTTCCCTTTACTTAGGTCTTTGATTTCTTCCGACAGTATTTTGTAGTTTTCAGTGAAGAGGTCTTGCACTTCATTGGTAAAATTTATTCCTAAGTAGTTTGTTATTTTTGGTGCTATTGTAAATATAATTGTTTTCTAACTTTTGTTTTCAGATTTTCATTGCTAGTACATAGAAATACAACTGATTTTTATAGATGGATCTTGTGTCCTGCAGTCTACTGAGTTCATTTATTAGCTCTGGGGATTTTTCGTGGATTCCCTAGAGTTTTGTATGTCAAATCATGTCATCTGCAAGTAGAGATTGTTTTACCTTTTCCTTTCCAACCATGGTGCCTTTTATTTATCTTTTACTTTTATTTTTATTTTTTCACTTCCCGTCCCACCGCAGGACCTTGATTGATTTTTCTCGCCTCACTGCCCTTGCTAGAACCTACTTCAACACGATGTTGAATACAAGTGGCAAGAGCAGGTGTCCTTGCCTTTGTTCTGTTCCTGATCTCAGGAGGAAACGTTCAGCCTCTCTCCATGGCACGTGGGCTCACCGAGGCTTTCCTGGAGGCACCTTTAGAGGGCTAAGAGTTCCCTCTGGTCCTTTTTGTCATGAAGAAGTGTTAAGTTTTTCCAGCACTTCTTCTTTATCTGTCGAGATGATCGTCAGGTTTGTTCTTTGTTCTGTGATGGTTATGAACCGTTCTCAGGTCATTTCATCCACTGGTAGAGTGTGTTAATACGGTGTTGACCTCTGTATGGTGAGGTAACTTTGCAGTCCTGGGATGGATCCCAGTTGGCCACAGCGAACGATCCTTCTTCCATGCTGCTGGATTTGGTTTGCTAGTATTTTGTTGAGGAATTTTGTGTCTGTATTCATGAGAGATACTGGTGTGCAGGTTTCTTTCCTTGTAACGTCTCTGTCGGTTTTGGTATCAGGACCTCATCCTGTCCTCGTAGAATGAGTTAGAAAATGTTCCCTTCTTGGTTCTTTGTGTGTGTGTGTGTGTTTCTGTTTTCCTGTTGAAAGCCCTGTATGCTGAGTCACAGTCATCATATTTTTCTGTCATTCTTCAGGCTCTCTTGCAGTAGCCGCTCTGGAGTCCTTAGGAAATGCACACTGGGCCACGCCGTGTGGGCTTCTGCCCTCGGCCTTTTTCCCGGAGTGTGGTCACACTTCTATTTCTTTGCTGATCCCATAATTTGGGGCTGCAATCTGGACAGTCCAGGTACTGTATTTCAGCAAGTCTGGATTCTCGTATTTTTATATGCGGTTGTTTGATTGGTTTTGTTTGCGTGGGTATTTTACGTGGACCTAAACTGGAGAATCTGTGTCCACGGCTGCCGCAGACGTGTTCGCACGGCTTCTGCTGTTGGTGTTGGGCCGGGGCGTCTGCTCATCTTTTCAGCTCGGCGGCTGGCCCGCGCTCCGTCTGTGGTTGTGTTCCAACAGTCAGTCACATTCCTGCGTCCCCACGGCCGACAGTCTATGAGTGTGGGGAGCTGACATCCAGCCAGTTCCCAGCCCCTGTGGGGTCACTTCTGCAGCTGCGCTGGGTGTCCCTGCACTTGCTGTGTGTGCTGCCTCTGTCGACCAGGGATCCGGGGAGCTGCCTCTCTCTGGCTCTCTGGTTCTCAGCATCTCCCCGCTATTTTTCTGACTGGTCCCTCCTCTCCCCAGCCCTCCTCAGCCAGGGCTGTGGGCCTCTCCAAGTCCTGCAGTGGACCCCTCGTGGCTGATGAAAGTGTTCTCCTCCCACCTTGAGCCCACCCCCTCTGGAAGCAAAGCTGCTGGCCCTCAGCCGTCCACCCTGGCGCAGCTGTGCTCTTGCTGGGCAGCGTGAAGTAGGGGCAGGTGGAGCAGCCTCAGGCCGGGAAGCCCAGTCCTGCTGCTCGGAAAAAGCTGCAGTGGATTTCAGGAGTCGATGTTTTCCGATTTGTCGTCGGCCTTGAGTTGATTTCCAGAGGCCTGAACTGTTGTTTCCACCATTTGTCCAGTTTCATACTTGGTTTCGTAGAGATAATTTGCTGATTCTACTCCACCGTAGCCAGCAGTCCTCAACAAGCCTCGGTGACTGAGTTAGGGAACAGGTCCCAGACCCCTCATGTGCCCGAGCGGCAGGCGGGCCCTCTGTCATCGTGTGCCCTGTGGTCACTGCGCAGTGTGTGGAGCTGTCTGACCTGTCAGCAGGGGCGTAGGGCACCCACTCCACAGCACGCAGTCCCCTCCGGAACACCCACGGCAGGTCTGGTGTCACTGGGAAGCAGTCTGTTCCACACCCAGGTCGTGAAACTTACCCTCTTCAGACGTCAGCATGTTTTTAGTTAAATTGTTCAGATGGGCATCTTTGTGGAAAGCATCGCGTCGCGTTACTGTCCTGAGCGGAGGTCTCTGCACGGCGCTGGGAGGTGTCGCGGGGATGGATCATCCCTCTGCTCACCCACCTCTTAGTGGGGCTGAAACACGGCACCCTCAGCACCCTGAGGAGCTCCTCCCACACCTGCACGCTGTGCTTTCGAGAGGGGCCCGGCTCTGGGTGGCCTTCGGGCTTTCCTCTAGCCCTGCCAGGGCCCCTTTCTCTGAGTCGCTGCTCTTTGAGATGATGCCTGGTGTAACTCGATTCTCAGTCAGAACCTGAAGGACCCATCAGGATTCCGGGTTCCCTGTGGGACACGCAGGGGCCTGAGTGGCGGGGTCCTTTGGGTCCGAGATCCCACAGCCCACACGTGGCTCTCTGAGCCCTGCTCACTGGACGCTGGGTGAGTTGTTGGCCTCTTGGGTCCTCAATCTCTTCATCTCTGTTGATAATAGTTATCTCAAAAACTTCCCATTGAGCAAATAGGAAACAATGTCAAATAACCATATAGTATTCAGCATAAGTTAACCAAAGATACCTGCCATTGTTGTTACTTGGTTCTGTGTGTTAAATGTGTAGGGTTTTGTTTTCATCGGGTGGTGTGAGGCTGGCAGATGAGAAGGAAAGGAGTTTCCCCCGGGGTTCCCCAGAGCCCCCCAGGGGGTAGTGAGGGGAGACCTAGCAAGATGGTGGTTGTGGTTCTCATGGGGGATCAGGCGGGTGGGCGGGACAGGCCGTCCAGGCTTGGGAGTGGCTCTGGACACGGACTGTGGATTTGTTGGCTGTCATGTCAGAGGTGTGCTCACCGTGGCCTCCTGCCTCTGGGAACGGGCTGTCCTGGGAGGACAGTCTCTGCAGGTCCACAGCCTCCCGATGCCAAACTGCTATAAAACAGGGAAGGCTGGACTCGCACAGCTTTCCTGTTTGTTCTTAGCTGTTCTCTGGAGTCTTCTCAGGGTCACCTGCAGACTCGGGAGGTGTGGGGCCTCTCACGGGCAGCTTCCTCACACGGGGCAAAGACAAGACCCCAGTCCGGGGTATGGAGGCTGCCTTGTGCTCAGGGTCTCCTGCCCCACAGGCCAGCATCCCCCAATGTGCCGCAGCAGGCAGGGCACTGGCAGTCACCAGCCACTGCCCTGGGGAAGCCTGACGCTCGGGCTCCCCTACCGGGGCTTTCCCAGCCTGGGGTCTGCTGGCCCATGAGCAGTGCTGCTTGAGAACCGAGTCGCCACATCTCCCCTTCCGTGTTACAAGGCACCTGGACAAGGCGGAGCCCGGGTCAGCCGCTGAAAGAACTCTGGATGCGCGTTTGCCCTTCCGGCAGTTCTCCGGGCAGTGGGAGCCGAGGCCCGGGAGAGGCGGGGGAGGAGCTCCCGCTACAGATTCCCGTTGAGCACCTGTGTATGCCAGGCATGCTCTGCGTGCCCACAGCTGCCCACGTGACAGGCAGGCCCCCCTCGAGGAGCCCACAGGCCAAGAGCCCCTAAGTGAGGCTGAAACTCAGCCGGGACTGGCCGGTTCGATTCCAGGCCTCGCTGTCCAGCTGCCAATGATTCACGTGGCTTACACAGTCACTAAGCTGCAGAGGTCCCTAAAAGTAGAAAGGTTAAAATACAGGATATTTACACCCTCACGTGGAAGACCCAGGGCTTCGCAGGGTGTCGTGTTTCCGCCAGGGTGTGAGCGACCTGAGGGACCGGTTTTCGGTCTGCAGATTTCTTGTGTGGCCCGCCTGCTGCGCCCTCGCGGCGGGGAGGGAGAGACAGCTACCAGGAAGCACGGCAGGCTGGCCTGGTTGTGGCGCTCAAAGCACCAGGACGTGTGAACGCAAACAGCTCATGTTTTATTCTTGTTCCACCGCAGGCAGTGTCTCCTCCCGGGGCCCCGAGCATCCCGGCCTGACACCGAGTCAGAGGAGCGTGGGAAAGCCTCTCAGGTATCGTGCGGCATCTCCAAGGAAATCACTGGCAAAATAAAACGGCTCATCATCTCACGCACCAGAGAGAATTGCCTCTAAAAGTTTAACATGTTGCTTTTCAGCCCTATTTTTACACACTTTGAGTGAAGTCTTGTTGTATATGGCACTTTCTAGTTTGCTGTTTTGAAGCTAAGATATCACGTAGGCATTTTCCCTGTTGCTGGAAACTTCACAAGACTCCTGTCATGGCTGCATGCTGTTTTACCAGAGGAACAGGCCATGGCTCAGCAGGTGCACCTAAAAAGGGCAGGTAGAAATACTCCTGGCTTTCTGGGCAGCTGCTCAGCTCTGCCTCTGTGCTGAGGAGGCTGCAGCAGGCAGCGTGTAAATTAATGAGCGTGGCTGTGTTCAGTGAAACTTCATGTACAAAAGCAGGTGGCAGGCTGGACCCGGCCCCAGCCCCAGGACAGGCCACAGCTCAACTCCGCGTGCTCCTCTTCCCAGACTTCTGGGTGGCCTCCCACGCCATCTGCTGCACAGTTAAGCTCACACCAATGGCTCTGTGAACAGAACTCAAGTGTTCGAAGGTCCAGTGGTCTCTCTAAAGGGCCAACTCTCCCACATCAGCCCCCACAGAGCCCTTGAACACCCTTTGCTGCCTGTGGTCCAGTCCACCCTGGGTTGCCTGCAGGCCTCAGCATTCTCTCACGCCCTCACCTCCTGCGCCCGCTGCCCTGGGTTGTCAACCCTCCTGGGTGCCCACAGGCCCTGTGGCATCTGCCACGTCCACCACCGGCTGCCCTCTCACCCTCCAGGGCAGGGTCCTGCTGTGGCAGCCCCTCACCTCGGCCTCTGTCTCCCTCTAGTAAGTGGAAGCATGGATGGACAGGCAGCCCTGGGATGGACGGGCCACACAGGCAGCATGAGGTGGCGCGGGGATAGACGGGGCGCGGGGATGGACCGGGGCAAGGGGATGGACCGGGGCAAGGGGATAGACGGGGCGCGGGGATGGGTGGACAGCATGGGGGTGAACGGGCGTCACGGGAATGAACAGGCGGCACGGGCAACGCGGGTCTCGGCAAGGCAGAGACGAGTTTGGTTGAACACAAAGCTGTCCACGTATGTGTTTTAAAACAAAGCAGGCTTCTTGTTGGAATCAGGTATGGTAGGATTACAGCAGGTGCAGCAGCTTTGTCGGGGAGCTCCCTTGCAGTTCCCTCGAGGAGGCAGGGGCCAGGGGTGTGTGCGCCAGGCCCCGCTGTGTGTCCTGGGGAAAGGCGGGGCAGCACGAGCGGCTCAGGGTCGTCTGCGTGGAATTGCGTGGCGGATCTGGCTATGGAGGCAGTCCTTCATGTCCGGTCTGCAGGGCGGGGGAGCGTGGCTCGGTGAGAGTGAGAGGAAGGAGGGGTTTAGGGGCTGTGCCCTGGGCCGGGGGGGCTTGCCTGGGAACAGTGCGTTCATGAATACTGTTGGCCACCTCCTGGAATCAGCCAGCTCCAGACAGAGCTGTGTTTTCAGGAATAGCAAGGCCCCAAGACAGCAAACCATCATAAAATACAGAAAATAAAGACTGATAGAGCAGCAAAATGCAGGCGAGGAAACACAGCCCTGGGAGGTGGCTGAGGCTGGATGTGAGTTGGGGACATGATTCAGGACTCATCACCTGGAGGGCGCAGTCAGAAGCAGGCGGATGGATAAGCTTGCCACAGAAGCTTCCGGAGCCTTGGGAGTGCTGAGAGTGGAAAGTGAGAGGACCCTGAGGTTAAGGGGCGAGCAGAGGCTGGCCGTGGGGGAGGACGGAGTGAGGGCCTTGTGATGAGGGCGTGCTGGCCTTGACGAGGAGCCAGAATCGGAGCCTGGGTGCAATGTCGGCACAGGCCAGGGGACCCCAGCAGTCTCTGCTGACTCCTGGGGACGAAAGCACAGGTCTGGGTGTCCACTGCAAATGGGAGTCGGCAGAGACCCAGGACGCCTTCTCTGTTGTTTCTGCTCAGCCCCTGTGATACTGGCCCCGGGAGAAGGCACCGATTGTAACTCGACTCTGTCAGCAGCACACAGGGAGCCCTCCAGCAGGAGTGCCCGCTGACCACCCTCTCAGGAGCCATCCTCATAGGCCCTGCCCCATAGGCAGCCCGGGCAGAGAGGGCCTCCCCCGCCACCGCCAGCGAGAGGCTGCCCATGTGGCCGTCAGCCCTGGCGTTACACGGGCCCTGCTGGTCCGAGGTACTCAGAGGTGTTTTTTAATCCTAGTCTTTAAAACCGCAGAGTGGCCAGTGCGCTCATTGTCACGTCACCAAAGATGCTCGATGCATTCCTGCTTTTGTGTTTCTCGCATTTATTAGGATTCCACCTCTGCAAATCCCCTACCAGGGACCATCGCTAACACCAACACCACAGTTACCAAATAGAGCGGGAAGAGGCAGCTCTCCGAGCTTCGGGGGCTCCCAGGCCGGGCTGCCCCCCAGGGCGCCCATCAGCATCTCCAGCCTGCTGCAGAGGCAGTGTTCAGGCAAGTGCTCTGCTGGCCTCGGAGGAAGAACGTTCTTGGGAAAGTGCATGTGTCCGGGAACTCTAACTCCGCATGTGCCAAGGGCAGACACGGAGCTCTAAACATTCTCACGAGTTGTGTTTCTGAGCTCTGCCTTAGTAGCGCAGAAACGCAGTAATGTTCACTTTTATATTCATTGTGAATTTCCAAAAATTGTGACTTAAACATATTGATAATACTCTATGAAAACACTAAGATGATATCTGGATTTTTTAAATGCTCATTTGAGTGAATGAACTTTTCTTCCCACCTGACTTGGTGTGTGTAACACGTGTACCCTCATTTTCCTCCACAGTGTGAAGTCGGAAGTCCTTCCAAAGACAGAGCTGACGTGTTTTTATTGTGACCCGATGCCTCCTGCGGGACCCGCTCACCTGGGGGCAGTGATGTGTGAGAGATGAGCAGCCCGCCACCCGCTCTGCGACCTTCCTGCCCTCCAGCCCTCGCCCCACCAGCATCTGCACCTGTCCTTTCTCTCTTGATGAAATAATTAATGTAGTTGAATAAAGTATCTTTCTGATTATCAGGGGTGGCATATATGCCACATGTTTAACCTTTACTTATAACACCTTGGAACTTGCTGAAAATGTGGGTGCTGGAGGCAAAACGAACACCTGCCTTTAGGTCACTGTGAGAAGGTTCCAGCTGTGGCTCTGGGGGGGACAGGCGGGGCGGGCAGGTCTGCCGTGAGGTGCGTGCACAGCGTGGGTCAACTCCGCCACACCCTGTGTTACCCAATGACGACACAGTCTATTCTCACAATACTCAGCTGGTGTGTGATGCCAGGTTCAGTGGGGAAATCCAGAGATTAATTCTGGACCTAAGTTCACCTTGCAGGCATGCCCTGCATGTGGGGAGCCTCCTCCTCCCTCAGGCGGGTGGGGCCCCTGCAGGATACACCCCCATGCACGCGCCTCCCAGAGAGGCTCAGACCCCGGGTCTCTCCTACCAGTCCGGGCCATACTGGGTTGGAAAAGAAGCTCCTGGAGTTAGTTCTCATCTTTGAATTTGCATTTACCTAAAAAATGTCAAGGAACTTTGTTACCTCACTCGAGTTGGTCTCGCAGCACCGAGCACCCCACGGGGCAGGCGCATCCTCACCTTCACTGCGGGTGGAGCTGGGGCCCTGCAGGCTGCACAGAGACTTTATTGCAGCCGAGGCACGCACCTGCCGTACCTGCCTTCACAGCAGCCTCCCTCGCCTCCCCTGGGCCCTCTAGACGCCAGGACGCCTAGGGTGCCCCATGTGCCTTTGGTCCTTCCAGAAGCCATGGCACTCTCATGGCCATCCCCTCCGTGAGCTTACTTTGTCCTGAAAACTTGTGCTGAAGCCAGATGTGCAGAAATCTTGTGGTGATGTGCATATTCTAAGTTTCATTCCAGAAATTTCAAAATGTTGTAAAATCGTGAATCGAATTTTGGCATCAATGTCTCATCTCTGTGTGTTATGTGACCTGTGCGTGTTATGTGACCTGTACATGTTATGTGATCTGTGCATGTCATGTGCCCTGTGTCATGTAATCTCTGTGTTACATGACCTGTGTTACATGACTTGTGTGTGTTATGTGATCTGTGCATGTTATGTGATCTGTTATGTGACCTGTGTGTGTTATGTGGCCTGTGTGTCATGTGACCTGTGTCATGTGACCTGCGTGTGTCATATGGTCTGTGCATGTTATGTGATCTGTGTGTGTTGTGACCTGTGCATGTTATGTAACCTGTGCATTTTATGTGAACTGTTATGTGACCTGTACATGTTAATCTCTGTATACGACCTGTGCGTGTTGTGATCTTTGCATGTCATGTGACCTGTGTCATGTGATCTGTTATGTGACTTGTGTGTGTTATGTGATAGCCTGTATGTGACCTGCGTATGTCATGTGGACTGTGTGTATTGCAACCTGTGTGTTATGTGATCTTTGCATGTCATGTGATCCATGCATGTTAGGTGATCTGTGTGTGTTACGTGACCTGTGTTATGTGATCTGTGCATCATGTGATCAGTGTGTGTCATGACCTGTGCATGTCATGTGACCTGTGTGTCATGTGATCTGTGCATGTAATGTCTGTGTCGTGTGACCTGTGCCTGTCATGTGACCTGTGTCATGACCTGTCATGTGACCTATGCCTGTCGTGACCTGTGTCCTGTGACCTGTGCGTGTCATGTGATATGTGCCTGTCTGTGATTGTGTCGTGTGATCTGTGCATGTTATGTGACCTGTGTTATGTGACCTGTGCATGTCATGTGATCTGTGCATGAGGGGTCATGTGTTAAGCTCTAGGCTACAGGTGAGACATAAGCCATAGAAACCCATTGTCTTCCCTCAGACACCATTCTCTCGGTTCACCTCTTGGGCCTGGGTCTGCAGCAGCTGCCTTTCGGCAGGTGGATTTGTGGGGCTGGCGCTGCGAAGGAGCGTGGCCAGGGCTGTCCTCATGCCTGTGGTGTTCCTTAGGGGGTGTCTTTGAAAACTCTGCCCAGAAATATTCCCCCCGGGCCACCTGCCACTGCCTCACCCTCTCTTCAGGCAGGGCCAGCCGCTTCTGTCTGGGGACTGATGATTGCCCCGATTTTAAAATCTCAGTTTCTTCCGTCACTTCACCTTTGTAGACGTAACTTGTGGCCATACTTGCAGCATTTCCTGTTCTTTATTTTTGTTGGTTTTCACAGTTGAGCCTGCATTTGGCAGCCCCTGGTTCCGTCAGACATTCACCAGGGGCAGCCTCGTGCCTGGATTTGCTGCTGACCTGCCTCAGCACACCTGCCTTTCCTTTCCGGTAATTGTCACCGGAAAAGGCAAAATTTAGTAAAACTTCCAGACCGTGGCACAAGCCTACTCCGTGGATAGAGGTGACAGATGCACTGCCGAGGCGGGACTCCGACCCGTCCTCACGCCTTGCCTGAAGCCCACGTTCAGCCTGGCGCAGGCTAAGGGCTGATGCGGGAAGCTGCAAGCTGTGTGAAAGCCAGACTGTGGGAGCCCAGGGCCAGCGTGCGGTTGTGACGGGGCACAGAGGCTGGCAGGAGGTAGGGCTGTGGAGGAAGGGGCAGTGCCCTCAGCTCTTTGTGTGCATCCTGGGCTAGAAGTGGGCAGCGCCCCATCTCCAGGCTCTGCTGCTCCCACGTGGGTCCGTGGCAGCCAGGCCTTCACCCCTGCCTCCCCTCTCCCGCCCGTGAATTGTCCTGCCTGGTGGTGTCTGGTGGGCTGGGCTGCAGGCAGTGGGGGCTGTCTCCACTGCTCACGGGGCAGCTGTGATTCAGGGCCAGTACATGACCTTGGGCTGAGTCCCCCACGAGCTGTGCAGCCTCACACATCCTCCCTCCGGCCCGCGCTGCTGTTCTGGGCTGCGAGCGCTGCGTGAGGACAGGCGGGAGTCCCGCCTCGGCAGTGCGTCTGTCACCTCTGTCCGCGGAGCTCGTTCTTGCCACTGTCTGGATGTTTTACTAAACTGCCTTTTTTAGTGAAACAGTGGTTCCCTGCTGTATTAGTCTGTTCCCATGCTGCTAATAAAGACATCACCGACCGAGACTGAGTAATGTATGAAGGAAAGAGGTCTAATGGACTCACATTCATGGGCGAAGGCAAAGAAGGAGCAAAGGCATATCTTACATGGCGGCAGGCAGAGAGCACGAGCAGGGGAGCCCCTCTCACAAAACCGTCAGGTCCCGTGAGACTTACCATCGTGAGAACAGCACGGGAAAGACCCACCCCCATGATTCAGTTACCTCCCACCGGGTCCCTCCCACGACGGAATTGTGGGAGCCACAGATGAGACTGGGTGAGGACACAGGTGAGCCATGTCACCTGCACGTCTGAGCACCACGTCCATCTCATCAGCCAGCATGGCGAGGCGCTCACAGTGACGGCACGAGCAGGCAGCTGCCAGCAAGAACATGTGTTTCCAGCTCTCTGCCTGTGTTGCGGGAAGTCCAGAAGTGCCAGTGGAGTGGACATATTTCTCTTTTTTCTTTTGTTTTCCTTTTACTTCTTTTTTTTTTTTCTAGAAGTACCACAGTTATCCAAGTAGGATTTTTTTCAAGTAGTTTTTTTTTATTTGTTTGTTTTTGTTTTTGCGATGGAGTCGTGCTCTGTCACCCAGGCTGGAGTGCAGTGGTGCAATCTCAGCTCACTGCAACCTCCACCTCCCAGATTCAAGCAATTCTCCTGCCTCAGCCTCCCGAGTAGCTGGGGTTGCAGCCACCTACCACCACATCTGGCTAATTTTTTTTTATTTTTTTTATTTTTATTTTTTTAGGAGAGACCGGGTTTCACCATGTTGGCCAGGCTGGTCTCCAACTCCCGACCTCGTGATATGCCCGCTTTGACCTCCCAAATTGCTGGGATTACAGGCGTGAGCCACTGCGCCTGGCTGACACATTTCCCATTGTAATTTTTCTTTTCTTGCTAAGCTTCTGAGTTTTGAGGGAAAAAATATTTGAGACTAAAACTAGTGTTCATAGACAGATGTCACTAGCGCTGGGCAGGATTTGGAGGTAATGCTGGGGAAGGAACTCAGCCAAGAGGAAAGAAACCGGTCCCTGGATGGACAGATGCCGACAGAGCCCCCGAGTTCACGCAGCATTCTTTGGGAAAATAATGCGATGTTTGCTCAACTTGACCCACTTCGTTTCCTTCAAGATGTTTGCTATCAGTAATGCCGTTGTACGCAGATTAAATGAAAAATGGTCATTTTGCTGGCAGTGGGAGAATGTCTAGTTTCATACAGCCAAAATACTTCCGGGTCAGCAGTGGCCTCAGCCACGTTTCCACCCACTCCCATCCCAGCGGCCCACGGCCTCCGTGGCGATGCTGGCCGGCTACGCCACAGGGCACTAGACGGAGGGAGCCTGCGTGGTGCCCGAGCCGGGCTGGGCTTGTTCACAGGAAGGCACTGGAGGAAAGAACGTGGCCGCAGAGGCCGTGGTGCTCAGAACCTGCCGTATGCAGAGACCACGCAGGGCCACAGGCTAAGTCCTTAGACTGGATTCTTGTTTTTACAAGAGGTGCAGACCCCAAAACGGTCCTGCAGAAGCAAACGCACAGCGCGGACATAAAACAATGAGACCAGCTGTGAACGTCTCAGGCGGCTCCATGCCGCACATTCAAACGTACCGGTGAGGCGGTTTGCGCCTTCTACCTAATCCATCCACGTGCACTCGGTATTTTACTCCAGCAGGCACTAAATCAACATCTGACTGACTCTTCCGCTACCATCGTGGCTTCTGATCTTCGCGGCCCCAGCTGCGGCAGGTGCCTGGAGATGGAGTGGCTGAGGGGCGTCCCCAGGCCTCCACCCTCAGGGGCTCCGCTACTCATGGCACAGCACCTTCCAGAACCTTCCAGAACTGTTTCTGGTCTCTCAGAATTCCTGTTTTGTGGGACTGAGGTCCTTTGTTTTGATTTTAATAAAAATGGTGTTACACTTAGCCTGGCCAACGTGGCAAAACCCCATCTCTACTAAAAATACAAAAATTAGCCTGGCGTGGTGGTGCACACCTGGAATCCTGGCTACTTCAGAGGCTGG